CTGACGAGTCTCAATGCTTTGCTGCTACCTGCATCGTGCTAGAGTTTGAACATAGCTGAACACGACCGTTAGGGTTTTGGGTCCATCATAGTCTGGAGTGTCCTAGAATAGTCCTTTTAACAGCTGTCCACTACAGGGATGAGACGTTAGACATTTTCATGCGGAAGTATATAGGCGTCATTAATGGTGTTTTCGTTCTTATGGATAAAAATGTCGTCCACACTGTGCTCAGATTGGGGGGGGTTCCTCCAGACGGAATGACCAGTTAGACCTCGAAACATAGATCCATAAATGAAACTGTCCAGCATACTGTTTTGTTTTACCCAGTTCAGCTCATGGCTTTCCGTGAACTGGAAGATGCCCTTGTGGAGGAATATGATTATCTGCCACAGGTCATTATCCAGAGGCTCATCAAGAGCATTAGGAAGCAATGCCATGCAGTAATCAGTGCTTTGGAAGGGCACTAGCTATTAATAAGATTTATTTTGTTACTTATTTTCTGATCAGTTTATAAAATATTTCATATTGAGGAGTATCTTCTTTCACGTTGAGTTATTTAAAGACACACTAAGAAAAAAATGATTACACCTTGTGATTGAGAAACATATGGAACTATTAGTTGGTTACTAGTCAATCATCTGTGATTTGCAGTGACCAGTGACCTAGTAGCCTGTTACATAACTTTTTTGTTGTTGAAGTTATTGAAAGCAAGTTCGATATTTTTTCTAAAGGAATAGATTAAAGTACACAGATATGGATGTATGTGTATATACGCATGATCAAAGATTAGGTCAAACATTTACCTTTTGCTTGGAGCTAATGATTCTTGGGCAACATGAAATTTTTATTGAGTGGCAAAAGAGATGTGTGTGGAGATATTTCTCAGATCATTCGTTTTTTCGATTACTTTTTTTTCTTTAACCTCATCTGAAGGAGACTGTTATGGCTAAATCAAGATGACATAGATGGTGGCGGTGATCTAGCCCTCTAGTGGTACTACGTGATTGTCACACGAACGTGCCGTGTTGGTCTTCCTTATGCACAGAAACAAAATTATTCAAACATACAAGCAGAGGGTGAGAAAAGTGTTGTTAATGGACGAGAATTTGGCCGCGTAAAAGCTTTAATCTCACAAACGTGATTACTCGGGAGACGTCTAGAATATTGATTGGCTTGTTGTGTTTGACGATAAGTTTCTTTCGTCTTATTTCATCGGAGGTAAAGAAACATTTCATTAGGTTACTATCCATAAATTTGGATTTTTGTTTAAATCAGCTGTACTTTCTCTTGTTGTCACTTTTTGTTGATTACTCCACATTTAAGTAAATATTGCCATTACTTAACAACAAGTGTACTGTTTTCTTACTGTTCGCGAAATTAAAGTAAGAAAGTCGTCGCAAAGAGAAGATATCCTTGGTTTCGTAATCATACAAAATTCTTTCAAAGAAATTAATACGTAGAAACTCAGATCTCTTATAATGTTACTTGAGGACCAAATGGAAACAATAACAAAAATAATGTATATAAACACATTCAAACTTGTAGTGTTAATAATACTTTTCGCCCTTCGAAGTTGGAATATGGGCGAAACTATAGAAGATAAAAGAAGTTAATTATATAGATATCTGGAAAATTGGGATCGTGCAGGTGGTTGTGTAACCCACGACTCAGCCGACTTGCCACATGCTTTTTAGCTCAACTATTGTGTCTCGATTTCCGCCCGTTCTCAATTTTCTCTTCTTTAGAAATTTTTAAGCATGGTGCACATACGTATTTAAAATTTAAAGATTCAAGAGATATTATACATTTCTTGAAAAATTTGTTTGTTTGTTTTTAATTGTGCACAAAGCTACACAAGGGCTATCTGTGCTCTGCCCACCACGGGTATCGAAACCCGGTTTCTAGCATTGTAAGTCCGCAGACATACCGCTGTGCCACTGGGGAGCTCTTGAGAAGTAAAGATAGTACTTGTTATGTTTTAAGCGCAAAGCTACACGATAAGGGCTATCTGCGCTGTGCCCACTACAAGGATCGAACTTTGAATTTTAGTGTACAAAGGCAGTTTTTGCTCGAGATAAGGTTTAAACAGAGGAGAGTATATTTAAAAGGTGTTGTTGTGGGTAGTGTTTTAGCGCAAATCTACACAATGGCTATCTGCGCTCTGTCCATTAGGGGGAATTGAACTCCAGATATTAGAATTTTATGATCAGTAGCTTTTTATTGGCCCACCGGGGGACGGACTGCACCCATCTAGTAACTTTCAAAAGCTTTCTAGAGAAATTCAGTCCATAAAAACACCTTTGAAGTATAAAGGGCAATGTTTTCTATATATGGATTCTAGTTATCCTACAGTGTCATTTGATAATTTTACTAGAATATGATTTCAGTAATTTCTTGCTCTTTTTTTTTTCATTCTAAAGTATTTTCGCGAAAGATAACGAGCTTTATCCTATGTTAGATTTCTTAATAAAGTACATCTCACCTAACATTATTTTATGCCAGATTATGTCTTGAAAGGACCTTATGACTTTACTTTTTTGTTTTGGTCTTGGTGTTAATGAGTTCTAGATTGCATTTCCGCTTCTTCGTGAAACAATGAGTACAAGTGTTGTTGTTTTTTCTAGTTTTCTTTAAAGGAAACTTTATGGTACATGACTTAACTGTCATCTTTTTAAAAATTAATGATTCTTTTTGTATTAGGCAACTTTTAGTTTAAGTTTAAGAACTAAAACATTTTTGAATACCGGACCTACTGGCTTAAAACACTAACAACTGAAAATCGATTATTATTTTTTAAAGGGAAAAACGTGTCGCATTTTGGATAGAGTGTTTAAGAAATTTAAGTTTAAAACAAAAAGAAGCGTTCCTTTTGTGTAGCTAATTTGCTACATATCTACGTTGCACAAAACAACTAAAAGATGATTGGAATTTGTAATATTTTGACATGACAATGACAAGGCAAAAACATCATTATAAAATAATGTCAGTCACTTACCCAATTTTTTTTAATTAGGCACTAACTAATTCGTCGTTTGATATGAAATGCAAACAATTGGTCATTCAGCCTATTCTATCTAATTATATATATATATATACATGTATATATATAATGGTACCACATAGTCTTGTCTCACTTGTCGTTTTGAAGTGAGTCGCAGAGTTCAATGTACCTCATAATGTTTATGAACTGTGGGTAGACTTCGAAAGAAACGTTAGGATATTTCACTCACGTATAGAAACACTGGACAAATGAAAGCCAGTCAGTCACAGAATGCTGTTTCAAGCTGGCTACAAGTGTTTCAAAGTATCCTAGCAGAATTTCGAACCTCTTCCATACCAAAAGTACGGTTGATCGGACACTTGAATAAGTCAAACCATTATCTACAACACAAGTAGACGATTGCTATCTGTTGGTTCTGGCTTGCCAACATCATAGGGGTGCTTGCTATTCCAAGACTAAATCAGATGTTCGCAGCCACAAATGAATACAGTGTACAGATGTTCAGAATAAAATCTTCTTCTACATGTTATTGGTCCAGTAGACAAGTTCTTGGTACCATTGCAGGCGTGCTGGTTAGTGCCTTGCCTTCAGAAAAATGCACCTTAACTGGCGTCTGACACACAGGCAAGCCTCGTGTGATCATCAATATCTCTTATTCAGAAGACTTGTGGGTGAAGGATTGGAAATAGCTTCATCTTCAGTTTTGAATATGTTTGTTAGAACAAGAGCAATAGGATTGCCCATGCATTATCCTTCGATCCAGTCGTATTAACTAGATCGAGAGATGTACTTTATTAAGAACTCTAACCTAGGATAAAGCTCGTATTTTTTCGCGAAAATACTTTATAATGAAAAAAAAAGGATAGGAAATTACTGAAATCAAATTCTAGGAATATGATCAAATGACACTGTAGGATAACTAGAATCCACGTATATAGAAAACATTGCCCTGTATATCCTATAGTAAACAAGATGTCGGAAAAATCTGCAGACGCAATTCGATTTGAAAAAAATCTCATCCATTGAAGAGTTCATTTCACACATGAACCTGATCCATCCTGATATTAAATTTACCAGTGAACATGGAGAAGACCATACACTTCCTGAACCTTATTTTTAAAAGACACGATAATACGTTCCACACTTCCAGTTATCTTAAGGATACTCACACAGGTTTATACGTACCTTGGAACTCCTACCATGACCATTCTTAAACATTAGACATCGTAAAGACTGTGTCATTCTATCAGGACTCTTTGTTCCAGTAACGAACATTTTCAATCGGACTGCGACAAATTGAAAACAGAATTAGAAACCCAAACAATTTTTGAGGATACTCCAAGATCCCATCAACTACTATTATCTTTTAATTGGTCTGTGCAGTGTAGAAATAAATATAAGAATGCATTTTAAAATAAAGTAAGCCTAATTTAATATAAGTTGTTTCGTATAGGATTGATATTGTATTGGTGTTTTGTGTGATAAAAAATGTTTAAGCATTTAGTTCTGCGTGCCAGTTTTGTTTTGTGTTTCTGTATAGTTGTTTTTTAAGATGGTTCCAAAAGATAATCTGATTATATGGATCAAATTTTTGTCATGACGCTATTAAATTAACTTCAAGATTCTTTCCAAGTGAGGCAAAATTTTATCTGGTTTTATATTACTAGGTCATTTTAGTTATAACAGATTTATGTTTAAAAAAATTAAAATTGGTATTCAGAACTTTACTTAACGCTTGATATAAAGGCTTGAGTTGTATGGATAGGTTAATGAAACTAAGCCTAATGTTCATAAGTCTTTTTTTTTCATGAAGAAACGCTGTTTATGATATATTCTAATAATTTTCTCAATGATGACTACAGTTTTGAAGATTATTTTGTATATGTTATTTTAAATCATCTAAGTGTGATCTATATATACAGCTCATTTCTGACCTCATCAAAAGTTTTAATTATCTATCTATGGAAGGTGTGTTAACAAAATTTTATGACTATTATAGAATCCTCATATGAAAAGGCCTGCTCGGAACGCCGAGGCAGCGCCCCCACTACTCCCATTCTTGGGCCCCGAAACATGGATGCATCAACTCCTTCCCGTTTTGCGGTAAGATACATATTTTCTTCTAAAATTATTAATTGTTTCGAGCTCCGCATATATGCCGGTGTACAAAGAAAGTCATATACAGAAAAAATGTTTTTATATTCTTTAGATTACATATTAACACTATGAAGAAGATCGCAGCTAGCTAGACAACAGTGATGTGTTTATAAGAGTGTATGTAATGCGTAAGGCTTTCATTCATTAATGACTTAAGTTAAACACGTTTATAACGTGTTATTCATGTTTTATTGATAAACAGATTTAGGTACGTATTGCTCGTAAGAGTAAACCTTGTGTAGTCATCATCATAATGTTACGACAGCGGAGGTCACGTGACGCTAGTAACACGTCATGCGCTTCTAGAACGTTCATGTCCCTTCTTGAAGCATCGAGAGGTTACTAGATTTGCGGTATTCTTGTATATATATATAAGACCGCCAAGAAGTGACGGCAACAATGTAATGTAATTGAACTGCAGACAGAGATAGAGACTGACAATTGAGTCGAGCGAGCACGTGAGTCGTTCGTTGTGAATTATAGCGTGACTGTGGAAATTAAGTGTAATGCAAAGTTGTATTCAGAAAGAATAAACCAATTTTATTTAAGAAAGGACTTGTATCGCTAAAGTTTCTTCGGAAATAATTTTTACGGAAAATTAACTAACGGCTAGAGACGTAACAATAAGTATTACACAGATCCACTAAACAAAATATAATGTTTTTCAAATATTTTCAAAAAATTAAAAATCAAAAACTAAAAGGAGTATATGTTAAATTGCCAAGAAAGTAAAGTATAGAATTAAAAGAAAGGACATAAAATTGAAACACATTTTAATAAAATAATAAAGGAACTAAAGAATAGAGTAATAAAAATATAAGGAAAAAGTGTACTTCAGTGATATAATGAAGAAATTGAATGATACTTTACAGTGACATGCAACTGAAGTTTAATGAATGATACTTTACAGTGACATGCAATTGAAGTTTAATTAATGGTATTTTACAGTGACATGCAATTGAAGTTTAATGAATGATACTTTACAGTGACATGCAATTGAAGTTTAATGAATGGTACTTTACAGTGACATGCAATTGAAGTTTAATGAATGGTACTTTACAGTGACATGCAATTGAAGTTTAATGAATGATACTTTACAGTGACATGCAATTGAAGTTTAATGAATGATACTTTACAGTGACATGCAATTGAAGTTTAATTAATGGTATTTTACAGTGACATGCAATTGAAGTTTAATGCGTAATGTAATAAAAAATCTGGAAGGCACTGTAATAAAAGTGTAAAGGAATAAATAGGCGTTCTAATAATATAATAAAGAAGTCAAGCTATAATGTTATGAAAATGCAGAAGGGTACTTAAATAAAACTAAAAAAAAGACCAAATATTTTTTATACCTAATAATTATTTTGTCTATATAATAATTTATGAAAAAAGTAATGTTATTACGTAGATGTACGGGTCATACTTTTCAGAATTAATCTGTTTTTTTTTGTTATGTATTATGTATATTATACCATATACATAATTTTGTTATCGATGTCCGTTTGAAAAAAATAATATTTTATATCTACACTCGATCTTTATGCTTTAAAACTAGCTATATATGAAAAAAACTAGTTTAAAACTAGTTTATATGTCTATAATTGAAACTAGCTTTTTGATGTTATATTGCCTTTTTATTCATCGCTTTAATTCTTTGTTTATATAATATTTGATATGACTACAACCCAACGACACCTACCGGGGGGCTCGGTACTATGCTACGGGTCGCTAAGTAGCAAACTGAAAGTGTTACGTATTATTTATATACAATGTCTAGTTGCGTTATATATACATTATATATATACTGTTAACCATCTGTCTGAAGTGGTAAGTTGCAAGTGAGGTAGTAGTATAAGTTTACTTTTCACTGTTAGGTGACCCGGCATGGCCAGGTGGTTAGGGCGATCGACTCGCAATCTGCGGGTTCGAATCCCCGTCCCACCAATCTTGCTCGCCCTTTCAGCCGTGGGGGCGTTATAATGTGACGGTCAATCCTATTATTCATTGGTATAAGAGTAATCCAAGAGTTGGCGGTGGATGGTGATGACTAGCTGCCTTCCCTCTAGTCTTACACTGGTAAATTAGGGACGGCTAGCGCAGATAGACCTCGTGTAGCTTTGTGCGAAATTCAAACAAACAAATACTTCTACGTAGAAAAAATCTGAACAGCCATGCCCATCCATACCAGTGTCCAGATTAAACATCTTATTGGAACAATCCGAACAGCTCAGAGTCAGGAACGTCAGGCATATACTGAATTATATAAAAATCAAATGGCGTTCTAGGTTACTATTGAAATGCTAATTTACTCAGTTTACAAAAATATTTAATTACTCATATGCGAAATGTGAAAAAGCAGTACAGCAAGGGTATTGTTTTGGTTAACTGGTTCTAAAAATTAAATCCTTAAAACAATGTTTTAATTTTTGTAAGCTTTTCCGTAATTTGTAATTCACGAAAATTCGCAAATATAACAATTACACCTCCACGAAACACACGTCGGAATTTTTTTTTTTATGTTGCGTATGCCAAGAATTATCGAGTTTTCTTACACACAGATATATACATACATGCTACAGTGATTATGCATAGGTGGAGAATCTCCATATTCCCTAAGTATTATGCATAATAACAAATACTATTGGAGAATGTACATAATGTAAGAGTGTATAAAATATTTTTACACATTTCTCGGACACCATGCATAATTACCGCTGGATAGTGCGCACATTGACCGATCAATGAGCGACAATTTCATTATTCAAGGCACACTTTTCAAAGATTCTGGTTAATGCGCGCAATGATCGGTAAACTTACATTTCACTGAAATTCACCATAACGAACACACACATATATATATATATGTGTGTGTGTGTGTGTGTGTTCCAAAGTATATAGACAAATAGATCAGTATTTTAACACATTACAGACCACAATGCTTATATTTATGTCTCCTCTGAGAGAGAGAGACAAACACACACACACTGTTTTTTCTATTTTCTTCTTTTTTCTTCTTCCAAACACTTTTCAATCGACCGCCATTCCTACATTTCTCGGTGGATTCACTTGAAATTTGGTAGGGTTATACGTCCAGACACTTTTTCTTTTTTTGATTTATGTCTTATGAGGTTAAAGGTCAAAGAACCGAAAAATATGTTGGTCTCCTATACAAAAGTAAAGATGAAAATGGCCACATTGACATAAAAAAATAATTTGCCCATTTTAAGTTTTTTCTTTACGGGGGATCAGAGCTCACAAACAAAGTATAATTTTGGGATTTGGGGTCATTTACTGGACCATATTTTGAACAATTTACATGGGATTAGATATAAAGATACTTTTCTACAGATTCCACATATTGACAAAAAAAAATGGTGGACTTACTTATTTTTAGTAATTACATGGAGGTCAAGATGCTACAAAAAGAATAATTTTAGGTTTTTTGACAATTACTCCTCCGTATTTCGGCCAATTTACATGGAATTTGGTACATAGATAGTTTTTACAGGTCCCATACATATACATCCAAAAATGGGGGATATGCTCAATTTTGAACATTTTAGATGGGGAGCAAAAGGTTAAATATACCCATAATTTTAGGATTTTGGTGAATTACTTAGCTTTGTTTCGACCAATTTACATGGAATTTGATACAAAGCCTGACAAACAAAAATATTGGACTTACCCATTTTTCTGTTGTTGTTTTTTCACGATTTTTTTATGTCCACATTGACCATGTTGGGATTGCATGGCGGAGACACGTTGCATTCATTCGCGAATTTTGGCCTCTTTAATAGTATGGCATTGTTGGAAGGGACACTAATAAAATAAATCTTTAGTTCCAGAAGATGATACATTTTTTTCGATGTCAGCTCATTAAGACTACTTATCATCATTTTGACTTAACTAGACTTGTAAATATGATACTCGTTTAAAGCACTTAATCTCATGAGATATGGTTGAATTAAAACTAGAACATCGGACTATTTATAAGGTGTGAGCTCTTCTCTGTTGAAAAATTAACGTTATGGTATCTGATACCTTCACTGTCGTGTCGTAAATATTTTAATTAATTAAACGGCAAAACTAAAGATATATTACCTTGAAGGTTACCTATTATTTCATAGGTCATTTGCTAAGTAAACTGATGATATTATTATCAAGATATACGTATGTGTAATTACTTTTAACCGGGGCCCCTGCATGGCCAGGTGGTTAAGGCGCTCGACTCGCAATCTGAGGGTCGCGGGTTCGAATCCCCGTCACACCAAACATGCTCGCCCTTTCAGCTGTGGGGGCGTTATAATGTGACGGTCAATCCCAATTCGTTGGTAAAAGAGTAGCCCAAGAGTTGGCTTACACTGCTAAATTAGGGACGGCTATCGCAGATAGCCCTCGTGTAGCTTTGCGCGAAATTCAAAACAAACAAACAAACATACTTTTAATCGACGTTAGAGGTTTTACACGATGCTGAGTTGCTCAATTACCTGCAGTAGAAGGCGTTTGGACACAACAATTTTAGTTATAAATAGTATTTTCATTCTGGTGTTATTACAGAAAGTCAAGCAGCGTTTACAGATAATCTTACAGGAAATAAAAAAACAACGCTTCATATAGCCATATCAGCATCCATAAACTAGCCAACGCTTTGAAAAGGGTTGAATCGAATCATTTAAAATGGTAGTCGTAACAAAAATCTTGTTGCTTGCTATTGATGATGATATTAGAGAATATAAAGGAATAACGAAAATAGGCAAAACGAATTGTATGACTTATAAATCAACACAAACTATATAATTTCGAAGAGTTTCTTCATTCTGATGAAAAGGAGGCCACTTTTCCAAAGAGTTCGGGCTTTTGCGTCGTTCATTGGTGTAATCTCTTTGTACTGATCTGTTTGTGTTGCCTTTCTTCAAAATGGCAGTAAACTATTTTCTGTGTTG